AAGTTGCAAACAAATCTGTACAGCCTCGAACAAAGGAGACTAAGGGGGGACATGGTCCAGGCATATTAGATTCTAACAGGTCTGGATGCAGCCAAATGGCTACTTCAATTAATTTCTTATGTTCTTATGTTCAGGTTAAGTTATTAGTAATTATATGATGAAGTTAACTGTAATCATGTAGACAGCCTTACAAATGCATAATAAATAATAATACATGGAATAACTTAACACCTCCTCTACCTGCCGTCCATATCCTCTTTTCCAAGTGGGAATCTGAAAAAATCTTATGTTGTGGTCCACCTTTCTGCCTTGTGATTTAGTATGACAGCCTTTCACACAGCACTAGTATCCCATCTTTCGAAGGATAAAGGCGGACGCAAACTCTTGCTCTTGAGTTATATACCTCCAAAATGGCGATTCGACCCACAATACACTGTGACTATAGCGAGTGTGACGTCAACTGTCAAAGACCGATTAAGTGGAGGCTAGACAGGACAAATCTTTCAAAATTAGTAGAAATATAAATACATAGCCCTACCACTTGACATGATGTTTTTATATTTCATCTTGACTTGCTGCCACGTATGCTTTCCACTACTATTGCATTTGAAATCGGATCAGTTAAGTTATTGTTAACATTATAGGTTTACATTATGAGTAACATCACAGTAACGGAACTTTAGGGAGTGTTGCATTACTTAACAGCAAATAATAGGTTTACTTCTGAATTGAGTCGCATCTGTGAGCCTCTGTATTTATTAACAGTATTTCAATTCTTTTAAACATGTCTATCCTTTATACGGGCCTATCTGTCGAAAACATCACAATCACTAGGGGCTTACGTTGTCCTTGCATACAAGGCTGTGTAATAAGGTATTTTATATATCGGCCATTTCCTGGCCCTGACTCCTAAATATCGGCATCGGCTATTGAAAAACCCATATCGGTTGACCTCTAGTATGAACACTTTGGTAATAATCTTAATTTATTATTCTATATCCAACCAGATACTCCATTGAATATTTCTCATTATCCTTTTTAGAATAATGTTTTATAAATTACCTTTTCCTTATGAGTCTTTCCTGCCTGACAGAACAGAGCTTTTCCTTTTCCCTCCTAATCAGAAACCACAGTCCTTACTCCAGGTTCCACTTCTGTCTCAGTGACCATCAAGCCTTCTGCTCCTGGATCGACCCCCACAGGAGCGAATGATAAGGAACAGAGGTTAGTATTCAGCTCGTCATGCATATTATTTTTATTAAAATAAGGATATTGTGTTTATTTTATTTTACTTAATTATAATATCCCTGATACGGCATCCCATCCAGGCTGAGCCCCTGCCTTGTGCCCTGTGCTGCTGGGGATAGACTGCAGGCCTGTTTGGAAGATGGATGGATGGATGGATGGATTTTACAAAACATTATAACATGTTGTGTGAAAATCTTGAGCTGTTTTCATGCTACTTGTTAATGTCTCCTGTTCCTCACATGTATCCTGTGTAATAGTACAGATGTGACTGTACCATGTTACTATAAAGCATGTAAGACTTTACTGTTCAAATCCACCCTCTTATTCAGCTCTTTGTTCCAGATTGTTTCTGTATGTAGGACTGGGCTTATTGGTGCTGCTGTTGATCATCATCATCATCACATGGAAAGTGTGTGACAAACACAGTGAGTATCTGCTGATGCAGACAGTGTATAAGTGACCTGACTGTCTGAGCAGTGATGCATGTCCCTCTGCATTCCTGTAAGCAGCAGCTAAAACTTCATGCTTTTATCCTTTTCCAAAGCCGGCTGGACAGAGTCACAGACAGCAGTATTCAGACACACAGGTTATACAGTAACATTAAAACACAAAACATGGTCATGGCCCCTTTGAGAACACAGACTAAAAACAGAACTAAAAACTGCAATGGAGCAAACAGGAAATCCAGGCCTAGCTGCAGTACTGATTTGGGAAGGGGGTGCGTTACGTAACGGGATTTAGTGGGGGGGACAGCGCTGTGGTGACCGGGCGTTACAAACCACGAGACACTGTGATATGGATCAGACAGTGTTTGTTCTTTATTTCACTTTGATAAAGGCAAACAGCGACACACACAGGCAGATTCAAACAATTTAATTATATCGGGAGAGAACAGCAGGACTATACATTTAGCCTGCAGCCTCAATGAGGGTAAGTACAGTGGTATGCAAAAGTTTGGGCACCACTTGATAAGTAACATATTTTGGTCATTTTTTAATTGAAAAGATGTAAACACAGTCTCTGTAGGAAATGGAAAAAAATACATCATATTTTCACCAAACATTGATGCATAGTTACTTTTTATGTCATAAATAAAGACATAAAGACAAAAATTAAAAACATTATTGTGGCACTCTGCAAAAGTTTGGGCACCATAAGAGTTCCAGAGTCTCAGATTCTTTTTTACAAGGTTTCAGACCTTAACCAGCTCATTAGATCTGATGCATGGCAACAGCTGTCATTAGTACAGTAAATGTCAGCTGGTGCCAATTTCAAAGCTTTACAAATACTCTGACTCTTCAAACCTTGTGCACACACTTGTGGACACTCACCAACCATGGGTTCCTCTAAGCAGCTGTGTAAGACTCTGAAAATGAAAGTTATTGATGCCCACAATGGAGGAGAAGGCTACAAGAAGATAGCAAAGCATTGTCAGCTTGCAGTTTCCACTGTAAGAAATGTAATTAAGAGATGGCAGTTCAGGGGAACTGTGGAGGTCAAGATGAGATCTGGAAGACCAAGACAA